GGCAGGGAGGGACAGGACACAGGGAATGGCTTCACTGCCAGAGGGCAGGGATGGGTGGGAGATTGGGAATTAGGAATTCTTCTCTAGCATGGTGGGCAGGCCCTGGCACAGCAATAATTTTAGGCTTTAAAGAGACCAAACTTTCTCTGTTGAGGATCCTGAAACATTCTTTTGGTGGCCTTGGCTTTGTGTTTTGTAACATTTACAGTGCTCAAGATTATCTTGCACTTCTCTGGCCTACCAACAACTTGCCTAATAGAAAGGTTAAAACACAGCAGTTCTGGCAGGATTTAATCCTGGAGGGTTTTTCTTTCTTTTGGCAAGTCTTTCTGTCCAATGGAATAGTTTTGTACTTGTCCTGGAATCTCCTAAGCAAGTCTTGTGACTCCCATTTGAACAAGCAGCTTTTCAGGACAGCCACACTTGGCTTTGGTGCCCCTCCTGCAGCTCTGACTTCCATGTGTGTCGTGGAAACTTTCTGGGCCTCCAAAAGTGAGTCTGGTTTGGTTAATCAGAACTTCTGAATCTAAGAATGGTTAATTACAGTTGATTAAGGCTGGGAGTAAGTGAGGAGTAAGAAGTGATTCACAGCAGCAGGAGAAAGGGGAGGAAGGAAATGGGGGCCCAAAAATGATCCCAGGACTGGAGATGCCTTAGCACAAGGATGGACACTGCCCTGGGCCTGCTGGACATGTTCTTCTTGATGGGAATTCTTGGGAAAAGCCAAATTCATGGCACTTTCTAGAGGGTAAGGAAGGTCCCAGTTGTGTCAACACCAGAAGTCACAAAGGTGGTTTGAATCCATCAGTGGAAAGGTTTGCCTGATGTTCAGATGTACTTCCAGTTTGTCATCCCTTCCCGAGGCTTTGCAAGGGAAATGGGCACAATGTGCAAATCACTGCTCTGATTCCAGGTGTTTTCATTTCCATGGAATCACTGCTAAGCTTTCCTGGGAGAACCTTTCCAAAACACGCTGAATCTTGGTTCCCTGTTGGGTAAAACAGTTTATCCAGGGAGTTCCTGGAAGGCAGCTCACAGCAGGCATGGAGTGTGCTCTGGCACAGCTGGAGTTCTGTGGGGGCTCTGGGGTTTTCTCCTCACTGGTGCCTGTGTGTGCTGCAGTTCCAGAGGGAATATCCCCAGATCTACGGGAGCAGGTTCCCGAGGACGGAGTCGGAAGCGCAGCTCCTGGAGAACAAACCCACCCTCAAACAGCCCCTGCTGAGCCTCAGGAAACCCAAATTCCGCAGCCTCAGGTACTGATTTCACCACACCTGAGCCAGCTCTCCCTGCTGGAGCTCTGAGGGATTCACCAAAGGAATTGCTGCAAGAGTTTGCTGCTGGCTGTGCTGTGGAAGGAGGAAATGTTTACATGGACACTGTGCTGGAAGGTGCCAAAATACCTTTTTTTGGTGCAGATACTTTGGAATAACGTCTAAAAGAAAAATATTTATCTGTTTACAAAGTATTACAGTATATTGGAGTAGGAAAATGTGAAAATACACATAAAGCTGTTGTTAACCAAAAATTTATATATGTTTTTTTATGGGAAACTAATGACCTGCCTCTTGTTACAACCTTTAAATGTCTGTTCAGGAATTTGTGCCATTCAATGTAGTTTTTACATGTGTGTGTGTTGTGACCAAGTGCCTTTTCCATTCTCAAAATGTTTGTCTTTAAACAAAGGAGCTTCTATGAGTTCAGGGCCAGGAGAGCCAGTTCACCATAAATAAATTATTATCTCACTCCATAAATACTTCTGTTCATATAATCTGTAAAACCCTCATCAGCTTTTTGATATTTATTTATATTAAAAGATTTGAAGTGTATTTTTGACATTTTCATGGAAAACTCATTTTGAATCTGTTGATGTGATTCTCAAAATAGGAGTGATGGATGATCTGTGAAGTGAGAGTAATACACTGATTTTCCCTATTTTTTCCAGACTTGGGGGATTTGCTTATTAATTAAGATAAAGGTTCCCCCACATGAGTTTAAATCTGCAGGAATACTTTTGGTAAAGTATAATTAATAATAATTAATCTACTACAGACTGGTTTGGGTTGGGAGGGACCTCAAAGCCACCCAGTGCCACCCTGCCATGGCAGGGACACCTCCCACTGTCCCAGCTGCTCCAGCCCCAGTGTCCAGCCTGGCCCTGGGCACTGCCAGGGATCCAGGGGCAGCCCCGGCTGCTCTGGGCAGCTGTGCCACCCTCCCAGCCAGGAGTTCTTTGGTACATCTGTGATCTTGAGCCTGTCAGTTCTCTCCCCAAAAAGATACCATTTTTCTCCTTTTTTAAAAGAGATTTTGTAAATGAGAAACCCGAATTAGCCTAATATTACCCTGTATTAATGGTGCCTTAATGCCCTGAGGGTAACTTTGTGCTTTCAGGGCAGGGGGCAGCTGTTCCTCCCCTGGAACATCTGTGACCAGCCTCCTCCAGCACTCGGCACCTGCCTGAGTTTGCTTCCAGTGCTTCCTACCCCATTCCATGTTGCATAAATGCTTTGTTTATGTGGTGTTCCAGTTAAGTAACTTAGTAGGTGAGAAGCTCACATTTCCCAGGATTTGGCTTTCAGAGGCCTGCCCTCATTACTCCCAGTTCTTGATCCAGGTTATTTAATGTTCCCTTCTAAGGTTTTGACAGAACTTGACCAAAATGGGCATAAATAGAGGAATTATAATTATGGTTCTTCAATGCAAAGGGTTAATGGGAGGCCTCAATCAAGATCTCAGTGCAGTCTCCTGGTTTTTCTGTGAGAAGCCTTAAATGAGCCCTTGTCCAAGTGGAAACAACACCAGGGAGAGAAGCCAAACCTCACGTGCTGGTTGTGGCAGAAATGCAGCAGGGGATGTTTAATGTCTCTTTTTGTCACCCCAGTTTGGGTCCCTGGAGCTGTTTCTGTATGGAAGCAGCACCTGAATGTGTGTGGTGATGAAACACCTTCATCCTCTGCCTGTGAGGGCACAGCAGGAACCTTGGACCCTGTTCATCCTTGCAATTGCTCTTTACAGCACTTGTTTTCATAAATGTTGACTCTTACTAGAGGTGGTTCCTAATGATGAGACTGAGGGAGACCTCAAGGGGCTGAGGGACAGCTCCACTCTCTGCTCCCTGTGACAGGGACAGGACCCAGGGAACAGCTGGAGCTGGATCGGGGGAGGTTTAGGTTGGATTTTGGGAATGGGCACAGTCCTGAGGCTGCCAGACTCCAGAAGGGTTTGGACACCACTCCAGGGATGGAATTGTTGGGTGGTCTCTGCAGGCCAGGGGCTGGATCACTGATCCCCGTGGGTCCTTCCAGCTCAGGAGATTCCTGGATGTTTGCCACTGGATTTTCTGCTCTCTTGGTGCCTCTGGTGTCCCACACTCGTGGTGAGGCTCTGGAGGAGCCGGGATGGTCCCTGCAGAGCCGACGCCGGCGCCAGCTCCCGGCACGGCTCCAGCTCCGTCTCACTCCTCCCTGGGCTTTTTTTCTTTGTAATCACTTCTGCTCGGGAAGAATTTAGGTCTCAGAAAAACAGTGAAAGCCCCTTTTTGTGTGAGCAGCAGGACAAAAGCTCCCAAAGCCCAGGAGGATTTTGGTGCTGAAAGCCGGCTCTGTTCCCAGGGTGCTCTCATTGGTGGGGGCTGTTTTGGGATGGGGCTGCCCTGGGCTGGGCTCAGCACCCCATAAATGCCCGGCACAGCTCTGGCCCCGTGCTTGGCTCTGGAGGCTCGGGCCCTTCACCGGGAGGATGTACAGCCAGTGAGTATTCCTGAGGCTCCTCTCCATGGGAGCACATCCCAGGTGGAGCAGTGGCTGGGGCTGGGGGGCAGCAGGGTTTGGAGGGGAGGAGAAGGGGGGAGGTCTCCGTGTCTTCATCTCACGTCCCATGCCAAGGTGTGGTTCTGGTCTGGAGGAACCAGGTTCCAGAGGACTGACCAGAATTTGGAGTAAAATAATGGAATCCCAGACTGGTTTGGGTTGGGAGGGATCTCAGAGCCCCTCCAGTGCCACCCTGCCATGGCAGGGACACCTCCCACTGTCCCAGGAGCTCCAGCCCCAGTGTCTAGCTTGGCCTTGGGCAGTGCCAGGGATCCAGGGGCAGCCACAGCTGCTCTGGGCAGAGCTCACCTGCCTGTGCCTGGTCTGTCTTCATGGGCTTTGCAGCAGATAAAATTTAACCCAACAAATAATTCTCTGCTTCAAAAAAAAAAAAAAGGCAAAAATATTTTAAAAAGGCTTTTCT